TTGAAGGTTCTCATTATCCATCCTGTCATTTTTCTAGCAGATGCGATTGATACAATGTTATGGTCCTTGAAGGTGAGATCCTCCGACATAATCACTCCCAGGTCTTTGACGTTGGTGTTTCGCTCTATTTCGTGGCCAGAATTTGTTTTGTACTCTGATGAAGATTTAATTTCCTCATGTTTACCATATCTGAGTAATTGAAATTTCTCATCGTTGAACTTCATATTGTTTTCTGCAGCCCACTGAAAGATTTGGTTGATGTCCGCCTGGAGCCTTGCAGTGTCTGCAATGGAAGACACTGTCATGCAGATTCGGGTGTCATCTGCAAAGGAAGACACGGTGCTGTGGCTGACATCCTTGTCTATGTCGGATATGAGGATGAGGAACAAGATGGGAGCTAGTACTGTGCCTTGTGGAACAGAGCTTTTCACCGTAGCTGCCTCGGACTTTACTCTGTTGACGACTACTCTCTGTGTTCTGTTAGTGAGGAAATTATAGATCCATCGACCGAATTTTTTTTTTTTCGAGAAAATAGCATTTTTCTCAGCATTACGAGTGTATATCATAGTTACCCCTTGTTCGTTTTCTTTAATATAAGGACCCTGGAGGTGAAAGAAGAAGAATGGAAGCCCGTCCCTGGCGATGGGAATCTTTTATTCCCGAGGGAGCGCTCTGGGAATATGCCATATATTATTCATTCTGGAGTATTTACCATATTTCTTTGTTATTTATATTATTTATTATGTCATATTAGATCAATTGTGATAGATAAATAAGCCGTAGAAGCTATAATAGCGTTATATTCAAGCATATTCCCCGGCCACCCCGAGACTGGAATTTTCCATGACGTCAGCAAAATGGTGTCGGGAGATTCCTGGTTGGTTGGAAGTCTACGGATAAGTCCCACTCACTGTATTATGATGCCAAATCGTCAATTATTATCTTATTTATTTATTTATTTAGTAATTTGAGCATACATACAGAGGTACAAAAAATACAGGTAAGAGAAAGAATAATACAATAAATACACGAAAAAAAAAACGGAAAAAAAAAAATTAAAATTGACGACAAGTGAGCACACCTGCCGCGGGTGTTTACGTCACCCTATGTCATATTAGATCAATATAAGGATTACAATGATGAGTTTACAGAAATTTGGTTATTGTGTGGTTTACATGTAGTAAAATTGTGATTACAGAGTGTACCACCAGAACGCTTAGCATGGCTAGGCATTTCGGGCATACTTAGTTTTATTCTTAATTGTAAAATATTACAAATTATGAGGTAAGTTGGTATTATGGCTAAGTGACTAAATACTAGTTAGTGAGTTTAGCAATGTGAATGCTTTTGTTCTGGCACAGTACATAGTTTCAGTATTGGAGTATCACAGGATTCATTATTTTAATACTGAGATTAATATTTCTGTTTATGGTCAAATGAGTGAGTGAGTGTAAGTGTGAACCACCAGGTGGTATTCGTGTAGTTAGTTGACGGGGTGTATCAGGGAGATAAGATGTTTTCTAATGGTAGTTTTGAAGGTGATGAATGTGTCTGCAGTTCTAGAGTTCTCAGGTAGGGTATTCCAGATTTTAGGGCCTTTGACATACATTGAATTTTTGTAAAGGTTTAGTCGGACACGGGGAATGTCGTAGAGATGTTTGTGTCTGGTGTTATGCCTGTGGGTTCTGTCACAACTATCAAGAAAGCGTTTTAGGTCAAGGTTGATATTAGAGTTTAAGGCCCTGTAGATTAGATTGCACAGTAGTAAGTGTGGATGTACTGAACTGGGAGTAAGTTTAGATCTATGAAGAGTGGGGGGTGTGTTGCCAGGGATGGGATTTAGTGATTATTCTTACTGCAGCTTTTTGTTGGGTTATTATTGGCTTTAGGTGTGTTGCTGCAGTTTGATCCCCAAGCACAAATAGCATAGGTGAGGTATGGATAAATAAGTGAGTGGTATAGTGTGAGAAGGGCATTTTGCGGCACGTTAGTATCGTATCTTGGAGAGGATCCCAACCGTTTTGGATACTTTTTTGGCTATATGCTGGATATGGGTGCTGAAATTCAGGTTGTTGTCAAGGTATAAGCCTAGGAATTTTCCCCCATTATTTCTGGTAATTAGAGTGTTGTCAATCTTAATGTTAATTTGTGCATCTCCTGCTCTGCTACCAAACATAATTATAGTAGGTATGGATAAATAAGTGAGTGGTATAGTGTGAGAAGGGCATTTTGCGGCACGTAGTATCGTATCTTGGAGAGGATCCCAACCGTTTTGGATACTTTTTTGGCTATATGCTGGATATGGGTGCTGAAATTCAGGTTGTTGTCAAGGTATAAGCCTAGGAATTTTCCCCCATTATTTCTGGTAATTAGAGTGTTGTCAATCTTAATGTTAATTTGTGCATCTCCTGCTCTGCTACCAAACATAATATAGTAGGTTTTGTCAGTGTTAAGCGTAAGTTTATTGGCTGTTATCCAAGTCGATATTTTAATCAGCTCCTCATTCACAATGGTGTTGAGGGTGGCAAGATTAGGGTGAGAGATGACATAAGTCGTGTCATCAGCAAAGAGAATGGGTTTCAGGTGTTGGGATACGTTTGGAAGGTCATTGATGTATATGAGGAAGAGCAGGGGACCAAGGACACTTCCTGCGGAACTCCAGTATCAAGTGGCCGTGTTGCTGATGCTGTGTCTTTATGGTGACGTACTGATACCTATTAGTAATGTAAGATTTGAAATAAGCAAGCGCATGGCCTCTTATACCGTAGTGATCAAGTTTGGTGGAGTAGGATGTCGTGGTCTACTGTGTCAAAAGCTTTTCTTAGGTCAATAAAAATTCCTAGTGGATATTCCTTATTTTCCAATGCTGTGTAAAGCAGATCTAGCATTTTTATGATTGCATCATTAGTGCTTTTATTTTTCCTGAATCCAAACTGGCAGGGGTTGAGTATGTTTTGAGCCGTTATAAATGAATACAGTCTCCTGTGCACGAGTTTCTCAAAGATTTTGGATAGCAATGGTAAGTTAGATATTGGCCTATAGTTGTTTAAGTCTGTAGGGTCACCACCTTTATGTATTGGTGTAACCCTTGCCATCTTGAGTAGTTTCGGGAAGGTGCTAGTCTCTATTGACTTGTTAAAAAGTAATAAAATAGCATGCGAAAGGACATGGGCCGCTCGCTTGTACAGTAATGGTGGGACATGAGACAGATTCCCCGAGTTATTTTTAAGTGACTTTATGATCTCAATGACTTCCGTGGGCTCAGTTGGTGCAAGATAGAAGGAATTAGGGAAATTTCCATCTAGGTAGTCCATAATTCCTTGTAGGAATGTCGTAGAACGATTCTTGTACCATTGTGTTGCCAGAGAGTAAGCTATTTTTCTATAAGATTAACTCAATTTGTGAATTTTTCGACAAAATTTTCGTTCGCGCTGAGTAAGTGCTTACTTCCCCTTAATTAAGGCTTGGTCAGGGAGTCTGCCTATAAATGTTACTAGGATATATAATTCTACACAAGTAATACTGTTAACATGTAACACTGTATAATCCAGAGACGTACGTTCATCTTAGAACATTATGTGGTGATCTTGGTGCTTTAAATGTGATAGAAAACCTACCATAACATCTTATAGAGTTATGTTGTCCCGTGACCAGTAGCTCACTGAGAGAACTACGTAAGAAAACGTGTGTTCTTAGGTGGGACCACCTCGGGCTGCCCATACATATGCATCCCTTTTCGTTTTTCCATTTTTCTTAGTTAATTTTGTGTAAATATTGGTTAATATACATCAACCTAACCAAACCGAGGGTAATAAAATGTTTCACGGGTGTTGCAATGTCAACACTACGAGCACAAATTAACGAGAATTCTAAGAAAAGTGGACGCTGTTTGGAAAACAATTGCCTCAAAACGTAAAAGTTTTACGTAATCCGTAAATACGAAACTACGAAGAACAACATAAAACTACGCTAATAAAAACAATTATACATCAAAGAGAGAGGCTGTGTTATGAAAGCCGCGTCAGGAACACCCGTGACTTAACCTGAATCCTCATTTTTTCTTCTTCTTCTTCTTTTTCTTCTTCCTCTTCCCCTTTCCTCTCTCCTTTTCTCCTCTGGGTTGTCTTTCTCTCTCCTGTCTCGTGTTTCTGTTCCTTCTTTATTTTATTTCACCACTTCCCCTTTCACGCACCTCGGTGCGCTTGCTCTCCCTTTGTGGGTTTCTAGCTCTCTTGCAGTGCTCCCCTTCCTTTGTATTTGACTGGCTCGTCTTCCTTATTTCCCACTTCTACCACTACCACTACTACTACCTCTTCTTCTTCTACTACATCTACTGATGAAATTAGACACATGTGCGGCGTCTGGTTGCCTTTGTTGTGGACGTTTCGCCATCCAGTGGCTGGCTGGATGGCGAAACGTCTACGGTGGTGATGCCCGGGTGTTGTGCGTGTCATTTCATCCTGTCGGTATTATATACAATTCTTGTACTACTACTACTACTACTACCACTACTACTACCTCCACCTCTTCCTGCCTATATATAGCCGTCCTGCTCCTCCTCTGTTAGTGTGACTTTGTCAATGGTCCAAGTCGGACCGAAACGTCGTCGTAAGCTTCTGTCTTTTATGTGCGGGTTATTTGTGTATCGTTCCAGTCACAGGCACAGTATTGTGCCTTTTTGTTATTTAAGAATTTTCTTGTTTCGTATCTTAAACAAAATATGCACCTTCCCTATCATTAACAGCTATGAGCTTTATTCTGGTTAAATTTGTCTCTGATTTTACAGATTGCTGCTTTAACACAGTGATAGCTTTAGTTAACAAATTAAACCAAATACAAAAATATAAATCTTCGAATTACAAAACCTGACACTGGTGTTAGTTATATGTGTTAAATGTTAGTTACGTATATCAATATTAATATCAATGAGATCTAAAAAATCTTTTCTTTCTGCACACTGTTCCTATAGCCAAAATTAACAAAAGCAATAGTCAACTTACTTTCAAGGTGCTGAGAGTTTGCCCAAGCCTGGAGAGAGGCACTGTATATCCCCCGAATGCCGCCGGCACACTGAGGAGTCTTGCATCATCCACACCAGCTTATATCCTGGCAATAAGATCCAGATTTCATTATTTAGAATTCAGCTGGCCAAGCATATCACTGTCAGTGTTTGTCCTTCACAGCAGCAAGAGATAATTATCATTATTTTACAACATGACTCTGCTTACCAGCAGGTCTGACTCGCCCTACCACACCCACGCAGATACTCATTCATCCTATGTATAAAGCTACCCAAGCTTCTTGACCATATAATGCTACCTGTAAATTTTCTCGACTCATCTAAAACTCATGTACTTCTCTATATCCTTTGTAAATCTAAATTCGTCTAAGTAAATCGAAATTCATCTACAGCTACGAGTCCTGTCTTGGGTCGATAGTTTAACCACGATATTTTTTATCACATTTATTCTTTGCTTTGTAGCTGTACACCTCAGTCATATTCTCCCTTATTCTACGTCTTTCCAAAGTACACATAGGAGTGGTTTTTTCATAAATGGATCAACTTCGTCATCCCTCTTTTTTTTTTTTTCAAGCGCAGTTATGTCCGTCCATTCTGTAATACAGAGACCAGATTGGAGCAGCGTAACCTAAACAAAACCTAACCAAAGATATATAAAGTTGTAGTATAATCTTAAAACTTCTGTTATTTGTTCTTCTTAATATGAAGACAATCCTATTAGCTTCGTTGCGAACACTTATACATTATTGTCTTGGCTATAAATTTCTGTATGACTTATTTAATTTATAAGTAACTTGGGTATTTTATTTTCCTGGGATTAAAACCTTGCATTTATCCGCATTGAAGTGCATCTGCCAGTTGTCCGACCACCATCGACTTATCAAGGTCATCTTATACCTCATCTATGTCGTTTATGAATGTTGTGAACAACAATTCTAATACCGAATTCTCTGGCACACCCCATTCTTATTTGTCCACTTATGCAAACTTGTCTCTCTGTCAGCCATGACTCAACCAGGAAATAAGGTTTTCGTCCATACCATGTGCCGCTACTTTCTTCTTGTCACCTGTGCGGGACTCTTATCAAGAAACTTAGGCGTCCATTTATGCAGTATCGTATTCTTTTATATTGGTCTACCGCCGTGAATACTTTAGTAAAAAAAATGGTAAATTCGCAAGGCAAGAACACCCCTTTTGTCAAACTACGTTGAGATTCATTGATCAAATTATATCTTTGAATGTGACTTTAAACTGTATCCGCGTTTATTAATTTCATCAGCTTTTCTGCAGTTGAGGTTAGGCTCATAGGTCTTCAGCTTCAAATAAGAGACCAGTCTCCTGCCTTATAAATGGACATCACAACTGCCATTTTCCACTTATCTGGCACAATACCCATATGTAGAGATCTCTTGAAGAGACTAGTGGTTTACTAAATTTTTCTTTAAATTCTTTTAAAACCCATGAAAACAGCTCATCAAACTCAGGTGTATAATTTCAATCTAGTTGTCTGGGGACCATGTCACTGGTGACGTATATTTTGCATAATTCATTTTCGTCCTGACATGCAGTATTATTGATCTTTGGGCCTGGTGGCTAAAGCTCCCGCTTCACACACGGAGGGCCCGGGTTCGATTCCCGGCGCGTGGAAACATTCGACACGTTTCCTTACACCTGTTGTCCTGTTCACCTAGCAGCAAAAAGGTACCTGGGTGTTAGTCGACTGGTGTGGGTCGCATCCTGGGGGACAAGATTAAGGACCCCAATGGAAATAAGTTAGACAGTCCTCGATGACGCACTGACTTTCTTGGGTTATCCTGGGTGGCTAACCCTCCGGGGTTAAAAATCCGAACGAAATCTTATCTTATCTTATCTTAATTTATATCTCTTTTTATATAAAAACGGATTCTACTTCAATCTCTTGCTACCCTCTACCCCCGTACTATCCCCTGCCCCGCTGTTTTCTGTAACCTACTGATCATCCCTCCTCCCTTCTGTCATCCAATACCCTCGCTTCCTTCCCTACCCTGCAGCGCTGTACAGCCCTTGTGGCTTAGCGCTTCTTTTTGATTATAATTATAATAATAATAATAATAATAATAATATATAAAAACGAAGAGGAAGTATGCGCAGAAAATAGTGTTCATTTCTTTGTCACTAACAGTAAACTGACCTGAGTTGCATTTTAAGTGGGCTTGTCTTTTCGCGAATCACATTTTTATGTACCTGAAAATTTTTTATTTCCTCGTAACTTGAATTTCATTCTCTTTTGTTTATTTTCGTAGTCCTCTTTCAACTTCTCTCTTAAACTGAATATATTGACCGATAAAGTGACCTCTCCTTTCTTTTGATCCTCCTGTAAATGTCTCCTTCACCTAAGAGATGCTTTAATCTGTTGTTCATCCATTTAGGGTCATATTCTATTCAAGATTGGTGGACTGACCACATCGACTCAAGGTTGAGGGACTGATTACCTCATTCTCCTCCTGTTCTTCAAGATTCTCCTTTGTATGGACTGATGAAGCCACTGTGTGGCGAAACGTTTCCTCAATAAAGATACCCAAGAGTTGCATATGTGTCTAATTTATCAACATGTCGGTTCTCTGAACCATTCATCTACAAAGGGTCGTATATATTTGATATAAGCTTTCTACAGATTGGGCGGCTTGTACAACACTTTGGAAAAAGTCATATTGACCACCGTTTATCCGGCCCCATCTCATGATAATCCCTAGACAGTCCCATATAATTTGCAGCGCAAAAATTGGGGTCTTAGACTTTGTTCTCGTTATTAAGGTAATTCCGTGAGATATCGAAACTAAGTGATTTCTGATCGCTTTCTCAAAGCTCTTTATTAACCTAAAGATCATTTATTAGAGGTTCCTTCTTTGCCAAAACCATGTCAGGCAGGTTCCTTCCTTTAGTTGCTTCTGAAAAATTCTTTTAAAAGAGCAGTCCTGGACTTCTGGACTTCAGACTTCCTGTCAACTTCCTCGTTAGTTTGGCTAAAGCTTAACTTTCCCATTAAATCTTAGCAATTTCATCCCATAGAATTTTGCTGTGATCGCTATCTAGGATTGGGGGTCTACAAACCACGCCTAAGATAAGCTTTTCATGATCTTCGAGGAACTGCAGTCAAACACATTCTGTGTCTGTCCCTTTTACCTTATTTTTTATTCTAATACAACAGTTTAAATTTTCCCAGCATTCGTACCAACTCTGTCATTTTTCCTCTTGATTCTGTCAGCGTTGAATAATTGATACCACTGTACGTGACATTCAGCAGTCATGTCCTTATTTTTTAAAATGAACCCTGTCTTGAACATATCCAGTCAGCCTTAGTGTGTCTGTTTTATTTTTTTGAGCTTCGGTTATTTGAATAATAAATTCTAAGGAAGTTTTGCCTTGCTTCTGAATTCTCTCTCTTTGTAGACCAATTCCCTTGTTTTTACCAGTAACTTTTTTATGAACTATCCTGTTTTCTGAACCTTTTCCTAACATGGCAATTGTTGCTTCTTCCGTCTTTAGTATTGTAACCCCTCTGTTGTGGTAATATGAATAATGAAAAATTCTATACAACCTCCAGATCTGCAGTTGCACCTGTCTTGTAAGGGATTGTTAGTGTGCAGCAGTGTTCAGGTCCAGAGAGAACAGGTGACTTTAAAAGGATTATCCCTGGCTTGGAATCTCATGGTTTTGATGGCTCTTATTATCCAACCCAAAACATTCTTTTAATTGTGATAGTAACACTGTTATTGTGATGCAAAAGTTAGTTAGGTGAGAGTGGAAGCATGAATGAGTGGTGGTAGTATAAATGGTTGAATGTTTATTCAGCAAGGGGTGTATATCGTTACCTCTACCCCTCTCCCCTCTCCACCCGGAGGGAGTTAACATGGAATCCTAGTGATTTGACGTTACTACACTTTTTGCTTACATCAAGTTTATAAGTATTGAGTACCACTCTTTGTTTATTGTGTGTGTGTGTCGGGTTTTTGTTCATTTAACCACGAAATAAGTGGTTTCATTACTACATAGACTGCTTTTGGAGGCTGGTACTCAAACAGGAGGAGGTAGAAATTAGCCTTGAGCTTATCACTGCCATGAGTGTCCTCGTACCATGAACAACACCAGCTCTCCTTTATGCATGGCATTTGTAGGATTGATGGTTCAGTGGTTAGGGCAACTCATACATTGTCTTGTCTCATGGGACGGGACATTGTGACGTGGGATCGAATCTTGGCCAACCGCAGTTTGGTAAATGATATATATATATATTATATATATATATATAATATAATATATATAATATATATATATATATATATATATACATGTCGTGCCGAATAGGCAGAACTTGCGATCTTGGCTTAAATAGCAAACGCTCATCTTGCCATATAGGACAAGCTAAAATTTGTGTATGCAATAATTTCGCAAAAATCATTCTAAACCTAACGAAAAAAAATATATTTCATTGTATTTGTTTAGAATTAAATTACTGTAAAAGTATTTAAAATATATTTAGTTGGGTTAGGCTAAAATAAATTGCGCTTGTTATAATAAGGTTAGGTAAGTTTTCTAAGTTTCTTTTGGTGCAAAATTAAATTTTTTTACATTAACATTAATGAAAAAATATATCTTTAAATGTATAAAAAACCCTTTTTTAAAAGGGATTTAAAATTTTAAAATGATTTTTGCAAATTGACCATTTTTTACATATTCCCACGAAATATATATAATTTATATAATTTTATAAAATTATATATAAATATATAAAATATTAAATAAATGTCGGCCGAAAAGCAAAATTTTGGGCGATCTTGGTTTTTTAAATAGAAACGCCCTTGCCATATGGGGGAATTCTAAAACATAAGGGAAAAAAAATATTTCATTGGGGTTTTTTTTAAGTTTTAAAAAATTTTTTGAAAAACAAATCAAAAATATTTTTATTTGGGGTTTTGGGCAAAAATAAATTTTTTTCTTTTTAAATAAAAGGGTGGGTTAAGTTTTCTAAAATTCGTTTGGAGAAAAATTAAAATTTTTTTACATTAACATTAAAAAAAAAAATATATCTTTAAAGTATAAGGGGAAAATTTTAAAAAGGGCCCTTA